TTAGTGTAAAAATATGCACATTTTGAGTCCAAGATAGCCATTTTCGAGGGGGACACCTAACTTCTGACAAAATAAGTGGTTTCACCTAGAACTTTGTCAGAGTGAATTACTACCTAGACCCTATTACTGTGCCAAATTTGAGCAAAATCGGTGAACCCCCATGTAGCACCCTCTGCCTGGTGTTGCCTGGTTCTATGGTGGACACACTCTTAAATAGATGGGCCTTTAGGCAGGGTTTCATTGTAATGATAAAACAAGTGTGATTGGTTGGTTAAAAATAACTCATGGACCACAATTGATTTGGTTATTTCGAGTATTTTAAAAACTGTACTTTTAGTAATACATGTACTTTAAGACTACATCTATATTTGATACAATGACTCGGTCCTCCCCAACGCCATTTTGTACATYAAATCATGATGGGAGTTATAGTTCTACAACTYCTATCATGCCTTGCGGCACAAAATGGCATCGCGGTTAATTGCCATTTTTCGATGTGAGTCTCTTTTATATAGCRCCATACAAAAAGCACAAACCTACCTGCTTCAGTCGAAATCTTTATTTCAGTTGGCAGATCCCACAAAGTTTTCGAATCACGGAAGTATTTCACGATGTTTTCGGGAGAACGAGACGACAGCAGATTCTTACAGCGAATCTGAAGCTGTTTTGGTGTTTTTACTGGTAGAAGATGAGCTTGAATTAGTTTCCAATTGCGATGAAACTGTTTCATGCCTATTGCAAGCAAGTTATCCTCAGTATCCGTGAACTTGACTCTTAAACTTGACGACTCCTTTCCGAAGAATTCTTTGTCCATGAATCCGCAACGAGGCAGCAATATTAGGTCTTTAAATAGAGGGGAGTTGGCCATTATGGCCTGGTTTRTTGATGATACTGGTAAAAGAGTAAATCTCGGGGCCTTGTTTTTGGCATCTTTACCGTCTTTGCCATCTTTAATTGGTGTTTGTTTTCTTGGACTGCGTGGACGCTTCACATTATTGAATGGTTCATTTGTGATCCTAAATTTGATAGCAACATAAATTGATTGTGTAAATTCTCGCGCGCTGATTGGCTCGCTGCGCTCGTGTTTAAACTTGAGTTTTCGAAATTTTATGACGTCAAGAGTGCAGTGTCAATTTATTTTACCACATTTTTAATCTATTTTATCGCGGAAAATCATTTTTTTTTAATGAGCGCGCACAAGCCGTGATATTTGATGAGTCAGAACAGAACCCTCTTATTGACACACGCGTATCAGCCAATAGGCGCGCGAAAATTTACACAAGTGCGGTAAGAAAAAATATCATGACTCAGTCAGTTGAAATCCTGTCCCAACAAATCCAGGGACCTACAGTCAATCCCATTATATTATATTATATGTAAAGACATGACGGCAACAACAAACTCATTTGCATATATGATTCTGAACAACGTTAATAGGACTGACTGTATCAAAAAAGTCTATTCTTCGTTTTCAAGTTACGTCACAGCGGCCATCTTGGAGGAACTTCAACAAAGAATTTCTCATTGGTATCTGTTGTTCATTCCTCCAACATGGCCGCCGGTCTTTTATCTTTTGAATTATGGTTGAAAACGATTAATACCTTACAGCTTCCTGGATTCCTGGTATGTCAAACATYGATAAGGCAGGCATGGTACCACCTAGAGCCATGATAGGGTGWACAGACAGAGACCTRTCACAGAATCCCTGAAGTTCATTAACGAACTGACGACACATTTCTGCTTCGTCTTGAAGTGAAGGTTCTTCTCKMGACAAAAGRTACACTTGTACCAGTAATTGTACGTGCTGAAAACACATGAATTTAAAGAGRAATTCAATTTTTTCTATGTTGCAGTCTGAGGAGAACTATATGGAGTTAGAATTATAAAKATATTTATAAAAATATTACTTTTTTTTACTAAAAAACGATTATATTTTTGTTTTGTAGCACTCCGCGARTGGCTTTTCAGTATTTTTACTGACAAACGGGTTCAAACCGGTTTTTTAGTGAGAGTTTGCAGCGATGGTCGGTGGACGGCAAACTGRCAGTYAAACTAAGACCTCAATTCTTAACATTTCTACAGTTTTCCACCMTTATCTCGATAATATCGTCTATGAAATGAAGACTTCGAGGAGTTGTTACTAAAGAATTGAAAGATGTTAAATTCCGATTTTGAGACTCATTTGGACGAGCGAGTAAAGTCTTCTTCACCTCGTCTTGCTCCTTTTTCATTACTTGCAATTTCCCCAATTGTGTCAAATTCCAATATGGCTCTGATTCGTTTTTGCAGCACTGCTGAATGCTCAGTCTTTTTACCAGTGTTTGTCAATTGACTGTTACCTGAATTTCAGTCCAATTCTATTGGTTGTTTTCTATTAATATTCTCTCATTTTCTCTGTACTTTTTTTCTAATATGAATTGTAATCCATTGGCCTTCCTCGATTAGTTTTTTTCTATTTTTAGGACAATGGAATCATGTACATTGTAAACATATCTAAAATATTAATAAATTGAAATTGAATGACCTCGTGTTTTCTAAATATTGTTCACAATTACCAATAACTAAACCATTAAGGTTATTTCAATACCTGATTCATCTGTTTAGATAGCTGAGCACGTTGTTCATCGGTAAACATTATAACATCTTCAGAGGTATCGCCGTCTTCAATATCTAACAGCAACGACCTAACAACAAGATAACTCTCTTAGACGGCGTCCACACGTAGCCGGATATTTTTGAAAACGCACAATATCTCATGCTTTCACTGGAAAAAATCGCGCGGCATAAATGTTGTAAATTTGATGGAAATATGATGTAAGTGTCCAAAATGATGGAAATTTGATGGAAATCAAATAAACATCAACCTTTAAAGGGCGCGATTTCTTCCCAGTGTTTTACGCTGTAATTTTTGATATACAGTAACTCCAAAASAGGAGTACAAAAAGATACTGGAGTAGATTTAACTGTACCAATTTTGTCTGCATCTGGGTGAGTAATTTTGACTCTTATAATAGGAAATTTGAACCCCTTTTGGCGTAATTTTGACTCTTTTTCCGAAATGATTTAAACCTTTGGAGAAAAAACTACTCGCATTGTAGAGTAGAATTAACTCTCTCTAAAGTTAYTCCACCTGGTAAGTTATTTCAACCCCTTGAAAATAAATTAACCTATTGCTTAACCGAAAACAACGAAAACGACTTAACCATATCTGGATATTTTCGAAAACGTTTTCAAAGAATATTTTCGAGCAAAAAAACAATGATCGTTATGTAAACAAAAATTTAGTAAAACTAAAAGGAAAACTAACCTTGCACTCCACAAACTGTCATCATCTTCATTCCCATTGCACTGCAATGCAAACATTTAAAAGTCAACATATGTTAAGCAAGAACTTGTTCTTTCTCCGAAGTGRCAGCTCGATAGAGGTTTAAACGTATATAAKATATGTGGTTAAATGCAATTTAAGCAAAGTTAGACTCGAGCTAAAGTCTATACGACATTCAATCCCAGCTAACCCCAACCGGTGTCATGCTAGCTACACGCCTTATGCATCTGTACGTTACGTATCAGAATAGAGTTCTACAAGCGCCACTTTGCTACTTATTTAACGTGATTACGAATCTACGACATTCTACGACATTGACACGATCAGACACATTCGCACACGTGATCTCTCAACCAAGCCTTGCCTTAGCTACGCAAAAAGTCATTCGTAGGCATCGAAAGCACCAAACGAGACTACAAGCGCACTTTGGCTGCCCACCCAGCCTCGCCTACAGTACTGGATTAGGTACGTATTCCATCGACTGTTTGCGGTCAATGTGACTGGTGTGCCCGGTGTGATGTGACAGGGTTACCATGGTTACCGCTAATCTCGTACCAGACTCCCTTATTCCCACCGACTGCGCAGCAAACGTCAAGCTCATTATTCGAGATGAGTTTAAATAGTGTTCTAAAAGGCTGAAGACCTTAACTCACCTCATTTAATAGTTCAGCGAACAAATCAGAAACTTCCTTCTCTGAAATGGTAAAAAGATGCTGTGGTCAATTCCAAATGCCACATGCCTCGCACGAGGTTTGCTTTATCTTGAATTACAATTTTGGTGTTTGTTGCACTTTTTGACGTTATTGTTGTCTTTGTTGTTGTTGTTGCTTTTGCTGTTGTTTCCGGCCTTGTTGTTTTTATCGTTACTGTTTTTGTCTTTGCTGCATGGTGTTATTGTTGTTGCCTTTGTTGATGTTTTTGTTGCTGTTTTTGTCTGCTGTTGCTGCTGTTGTTGCCTTTGGTGTTGTGCTGTTGCTGCTGTTGTTGCCTTTGGTGTTGTGTTTGTTGCGGTTTTTGTCTTTGCTGATGTTATAGCTGTTTCTGCTGCTGTAGCCTTTGGTGTTGTTTTTGTTGTTGTTTTGTCTGTTGCTGTTGTTATTGCTGTCGTTTTTGCTGTTGCTGTTGTTGTCATTGCTTTTGCTGTTGTTGCTGTTATTGCCCTTGGTGTTGTTTGTTATTGTTGTTACTGCTGTTGTTGTTTTTGTTGTCGTTGTTATTGCTTTTGCTGTTGTTGTAGTTGTCGTTCTTTTATTACTGTTGTTGTTGTTAAATTGAAGCCAAACCACAGTGTTTTTTTATGCAATTTTGTGATGGTACATATTTATGTACTTACTTGGAATTCTTACTGCTCTGTCATTTCTGTATTCCTCTTTTTCTTCAACGCAGTCAACATTTTCAGCCATGAAGTCATACTCACAATCATCATCTTCCGCCATGATGTCATTATCTAATCATACAACATATCAAGAATTCATTACTATGAAAACATTGGAATAACACATGTTATTATAAACATACTTAATGGTCTATCACTCATACTGTGCTGTGATTGGCTACTCTACTAATGGTCTAATTTGTGATAGACCACTCGTGGGAAAATCAAAATAAATTAATTATAAACCGATTAGTATGTTTATACTAAAACAATTAGACCTCTCCGCCTCGTGGACTACGAGCTAATAGCCCATTCGGCCTCGCGGCTCGGCCTCATGGGCTATTAGCTCGTAGTCCACTCGACCTTGAGGTCTAATTGTTAAAGGCCCGTTTACAGTGGCGATTTTGTAGCGATTTTTGTGATTATTTTGATTCTACATCCTAGATCCATAATGTATGGGCCACGTAGGCAAAATAGCAAAGAAGAGCCAAAACGGTGTGCGGTGCGCTGAACTGAAAATAGCAGAATATAGATCATCCTCTCCTTCCTTTTCCATGCTTACCATCTTCATTGGCCAAGCTCTGTAAGAATTTCTGGAAGGCAAGCTGATCATCATCAAGTTCATCCAGTTTAATTTGATCATACAAATCAGGTGAAAAGTCTGGTAACTCAATATCTGGTGACAAGAGAGACATTTACTAGTTAACATTATTAATCTACGAACGTAAATGGTTCTGATTTCGCTAGTGCATTTAAGCACAGCCATGTCAGGAGGATCCGACGGGGTCTGTTCTTCTAAATAACTGTTCTTGTACGAATTTTTCCTGGGAAAGGGATTTTGAGCTACATTTCTGACAATCTCAGAAGCAAATGTGGCGCCCTTCCTTCTTTAAGATAATTTTGTTCCTGGCAAACGTTTTTAAGGTCAAAAAAGGCTTATATTTTTTTTAGTTAGAAAATTTTTGTTTTCCTGGCAAAATTGTTTAGTAAGTATTCCTTGCCTGGAGAGTTCTTTTTTCCTTAATTTGTCGCTAGCAACCAGTTGTGACTTCCAGCTGGCTGGGACATTAGAACAGATATTTTTCTCACAGRAAACCGTCGGCTCCTCTTTCCATATGCGCAAGCATAAGCACAAGGACAAGYACAAGCATAGCAATAAGGAACAAACAGGTTCATTTTGCGCATTCCTACGCTAATGTCAAGAGAAAATACATGTAAAAATCTTATTCTTGTGCTGRAGTTGAGAGAGGCTTTATTGAGTTGCCTTTATTCTTATTGGCTGAGTTGRCTTTATTCTTGTGCTTATGGCTATGCTTATGTTTAGCAACAACAAGTCTTAAGTTAATAGAAGCATTGTACTTTACCGTAAGGAAGTTCTTTATCCTTTAGTGGTAAATGAGATCTTGTCCTTTTGGCAATAAGATCATCATCGACCTGTCAAAAAAAGGAAAAATATACAAAACAAATACATGGTTACAATGTAAATGAAGCTATTTCTACATGCAAAGGTAAAAAAGGGCAGATATGACAAATAACTGATGCAATTTATCCAATAACCACCATGTACATACTGTACAATAATTTAAAGTAACTACAGTCAACTCTCGCCTTACGGACACCCCACTACAACGGACACCTCGATATTGCAGACAGTAAAATACTGAGTCCAYGGCRAAAAATACAAMGAAATGACTGAAATTAACTCCCGTTATTACGGATTCTCACAACTTTGGACACTAAATTACGGTACCGAGGGTGTCCGTAATAGCGATAGTTGACTGTATCTAGTATCTAAACTAAATCTCAATGAAATGCTTYAATTTACCTTTCAAAAATCTACATGTACAGTGAGTTACAGTATTTGTSATATTATCTTATGAATTCAATTCTCCCTTGTTTATTATCACTATAATTATCATTATCATTATCATTATATCATCATTACTATTATTTTAAATAAACTTTTGAGAATTCATGGTCGAGCTATMCATCAACAAAAGTGCTTTTACCTTGTCTGTTGTATGTTCTGCAGAAGATGAAGTCTCTGGTTGCTTGAAAGTCATTTCTTGTGATCTGTGCCTTGTCAGTGGTCTGCTTACTGCCACAAAAATCAAGAATTCTCATTATTYATCATSATGATGATAGGAGGAGAGTCAAATAGAACYTCACAAATTATGATATYRTGTACTGTACATTATCTCTTGGAGAAAAAAGAAAAAACAGAATTTAGATTCTCAGCTCTTTCCAATCGAAGCAATAGCTCAMAATTTTGCCTTTTCTATATCTCAGATAAAGAYGGRCCTCTTTTAACAACCCTCAACCYTCACTCATAAATGAATTCTTCAAAAGCTATCTTTTAAAAGCCTGTGACCTAGACGTCAGTCTTTACCATTTGACAGAAAGTTGTTAGAAGTGTACTTTTTCACCTGAAAGTTCGCATATATTTATTGTAAACATCAACTCTTTATCAAACAATCAACCTCAATTATCTTTCCCCAAGGTAAAGCCTAAATAGAGTTTCCACTGTACAGTTAACTCTCGCTATTATGGACACCCTCAGAACCGTAATTTAGTGTCTGGCGCAGTAGTGAGAGTCCATAGTAACAAGAGTCACTTTCAGTCATTTCTTTGTATTTTTCGACGGTGATTCAGTATTTTACTGTCCGCAATATCAATGTGCCCGTTATAGCGAGGTGTCCGTTATAGCGAGGTGTCCGTTATAGCGAGGTGTCCGTAAGGCGAGAGTGTAATTGAAGAGATATCTCAGTCTTAAAATTTGCAAATAAAACGTCCCAAACACTGGAAAAAATCGTGCACTTTAAAGGTTGTAAATTTGATGTAAATATGATGTAAGTGTCCAAAATTCTGTAAATTTGCTGTAAATGATTTCCATTACTACATCATATTTACATCAAATTTACAACTTTTAAAGCGCGAGATTTTTTCCAGTGAAATATGAAAACATAATTATTAATTCTCCAGGTCTCTGAAACTCTTGGAATGGCTGTTTTCCACCTCTCACATGTACAGTATAAAAGATATAGTTATCAAGTACATGTAGTAAAAAAATTGTTTTGTTTTCATTGAAATAATAATGTACTAACCTGGTGGAAAGGTGATACCAGTAGCAGTGATGTCCTGTAATGAGTCTGATGTCACCATGTCTGGTGTGGCTGGTTTGTACGGGGATGCAAGATCACTGGAAACAGTAGAAAGAGTTACAATTGCATATTAAATTGTATAACACAGAAATGATGAGGCAAAAGATTTTTTGAGTTTTCCTSAAAAAATATATGCCTTGAAAAAWCTTTGAGAAAACTGAGTTTTGTAGAACATTTGTGGAAAACGCACATTCTCAGCTGGATTCAAATCTTCATGGTCAGCATTGAAAGTTTATTTTTTCAGTTTAAGTGAATATGTGAGCTTTCTCTATGGTAGTGTACATCAGGCCCATGACTACAGTGTATGGAAGTACTACAACAGTTTCTTCTCCACTGGTGTCGGCCTGTTCATTTTTTGCCCTTTGATGATAAATAGMAAGTGCATTTAATGGTATKTAATGAAATGTTCGTRTGGGTAAAGTACCTTTGAGCTGAAAGGCAGCTTTCTGTGTCTTCRTCCTTTTAAAATAAGAAGAATGCAAAAAATGTTACTAATTATAATAATAATTATATCACCACATTCAGCTCAAACATAAACCTGACCTCTTCATCTTCATCAGGGCTGTATTCTTCATCAGAAGAAGACTCAGGAAATTCCAGATCAGTGAACTAGATTTGGAGAAAAATGAATACAGTTCAATATTTTAATATTTTACTTAAAAGTAAATTTGTACATTAATTCAAAATTATTATATAATACAAAATTCACTTTACTGAGTGACATTAATACTGATATTAATCTCACTCTGGTGGTTGAGTCAAGCTCCATGCATAAGCACGGGCGAGACATGATGGTGTGAGCACAGTGTGCATGTCCTCTTATTGACACACTTTAATCAGCCAATCAGCGTAGGAGAATAGTCTTCTTCACGGTCCCCTGCACAATCTTAAACTCATCATGAAAGGTAGCYGTGCCTTTGCATCGAAGCAAGACGACCGTTGAGCGTGCAATGATAGAAACCTTCTTTCACACCTACACATAATTATTCACAGGTTTCTATCATTGTACGCTCAACACTCGTCTTGCTTTGATGTAAAGGGATGTCTACCTTTCAAGATGTTGCAGGGAACAGTGAAGAAGACTATTTACACAAGTGTGGTAAAAAATACTATATTATTATTTACGTCAATCCCACTTGTAAAATAGGATATCAAGACAACATCAAAGTCATTTGCAAATAGTTTTAATATTGTTGGCAGTAAGAATGAGTAATTCTAACTTTAGGTTTTGAGCTTCGTTGAATATTTTTGCAAAGAAATTCAAAGTATGAACAGACACATGTATACTGGATTTATTGCTTGGTTCATCATTAAAAATCATTGTGGTATGCAAATGACTTTATTGTTGTCTTTATGTCTTTAAAGGGCTACTTGGACAAAAATTGCAAAAACATTAGAAAAGACTTGGAAATCAAATAGAACTATCTATATGGGTCTAATAACCATGAAGCAACAGATTTTAAGAAGATATTGATAAAAATCCTTAATAATTTGGGCAAAAAATGTTGGAGTAGATGACGTCATTTACTCAATCCTTTTGTTCTTCCATCTTTTTAATCAAAATTTCTTTGATGTGGGACAATTCCAAAACAAAGATTTTCCCGCAATTGCTTTTAATAGATATACACCTACTTGCGAAAACGTTGTCATAAAAAATAGGACATTTGTATTTTAGTAATAAGGAATAAATTAAAATGACAAAAGAAGATCACTGAGGCTGAACGCTTTCTTTTGTTTTGGTTTAATTTATTCCTTTTTACTAAATTCAAATGTTCTATTTTGTATGACAACGTTTCTGCAAGTAGGTGTATGTGAGTCATATATTTGTATTGCTTGAAGTTTTGAAATAAGGCCATTTTCATGCAAGTAACAACGAACAACGATACAACGATAATGGGATTGACTGTAGTATTTAAAATTGATTTTTAAAAACATATTATGTTTAAAAACATATTTKCACATATTAATTTAAATGATGACCAAACAATGAATGTGCTCTACATTGACTGGACTTACTGTAGATGCTGGCTTTTTACTCTTTAAAGGAGATTTGGTCTGAGAAAAGCAAAAYGAAATCACTATTTTCAATTAATAGTAATTATTTAAGGAATGTAATATAGCAAAATGTATAATTAAAAATCAGAGTATTTCATAGTAAGAGTGTGCAATAACCCTGTACGGAATCTGTATGATTTTGCACCAAAGTGAGGCAAATTGAGYAACAACCCAAAAAAATGTCATTTTTGAGCTTGTTTATAATTCCTTTTGCAATGATTGGAAAACAATTTTTGTTGGTGAAAAAAGTTATCATAGTTGTCATAGTCACTCTTGCTCATTTGAGGACTTCAGTAAACATGTTGCCTGCTTTGGTGACCGTGAAAAGRTCTATTCAGCACTGTACCTTCCACTGGAAGCAAAAGTGCTATCTCTGACTAGTAAGAGATTGATCATACACAGCTGATACACAGATTAATACTCAGCTGTTGTTTTTTTTTTTTTTCAATTCTCTTTTGTGTGATCTTAATCTTCAATCAAGCATACATTTTTATGACATGTACACAAGACTCGAAATAATGGCCAGTAAAAGGACAATGTCCTTCCAAATTCGCCAGATGACAACCCAAATTTTTATTGACCTGCCATAACATAAAAAAATAAATAAATTCCCAAATTCGATAAATAAATCTTTTTACAAGCCAGAGTGCTTGCCCATCTAAGTTCTGAATACAAAAACCTAGATAAATTAAAAGAAAATTATAGTATACAGTTTTTGTCCTTTCAGAATTCAACATGACCATACAAAAATGACTTTGGAAGGACATCTTGTCTTGCATATGTCTGGCCATTATATTGAGCCCTGATTACATGCTTTCAAGGTTAAGACTGCACAAATAAGATCTCGATACTTGAATATTATCTTTTTTTATGAATAAGTCTCTGAGTGATTGAAAAAGCCGTCTGTGTCCCAAACAAAATTTACAATCATACATGTATTTATTAACACTACCTGTAGACACCTATTAGTCTAGAGAGCTTAAAAGCATGACATTCCCGGCAAACAGCAAACAAAAGAAAAGACTGGTCATGTGACCTGCTTTTTGAGGGTTTTCCATTAGTTTCAACACGAGAGTGGGTTATTGTGGGGTTGCCATAATCAAGAAAAATTACTCTTTCAAATGACTACCAAAAGCACAAGGTCAGGCACGAAATTTTTAGAGCATTGGTTCAGCTCTGCCGTTAGTTGTTTGCCGTACCCCTGAATTAGGTACACTAACAATGACTTCCACATTACCAGTTGAGCAATTGGGTCTTCTAAGTTCTTTTGCTTATACTTTGACCTTGTCATTTTGGGTTCCTGGAAATAATAAATCAAATAATACTGTCAGTGTTTTAATAATTCTAAATTTAAAATAGATTCAAGACTGCCCAGTCCATACTATTCTTATTAAAATCAGAGTGAAAGAAAGGCAAAACAAATAAGTACATGTAAGTCATATTTTACTGTCTTGCATTTGGTCATTCTAAAAATCAAAAAGGGACTGCATGGTGACCAGTCTGTGACAAACACATGCATTTTGTGATCATGAAATGGATAACAAGATTTGCTAAATAAGTATCCAGACTGTAGAGTTTGAGAGCTAGTATTTGAATGAATAATTATAATAATAGAGTAGCAAGCGTCTAAAATTCAAAAAAACTAACAAAGAATGTATGGAGCTCTTACAGTAAGCAGCGTAACAAAAACCACACATTCATTCTTATTTTTGCAAATTTTTAAAAAATTGTTGCTCAATGAGTACCTGACCAAATACATGTAGTCTCAAACTTGACAAGGACACTACAGTAATTGTAGTATGCACTGTTTCATGAGGTCAGGTTTAGTCAATTTCCATCTTCTTGACACACTCTTGTTGTGTCTATAGCTATGCTGTATGACCACTGTATGTACATGTACATGTAAATGACAGCTCTCAGTCTTAGAGGCAACTTTCTGACAATCTTGAGTTCGCGACCCATAATAGTACATGTACATGTACCAATGCATCCTTGGATCTCAAATATTTAAGGTATAAGCATTTAAGAACCTGCACATGTGACTTACAAATTCAATGTTGGCATCTTCTGCTTCTCCAGCCTGTTCTCTTTCTTTTTCTGCAATAACCTTCTGAACCAGCTCCAGGACCCTTCTATCTGTGATGACATGCTTTTTCCCAAAAGAATACAAATATTTTGGTATTAACATCTACTAGTATTCCAAAGAAGCTTGTTGGATATTTAAAATGCTTAATGACAATTGTAGAATGGAGATTGCTCAACCGAAATAAGCCATGGGTTTTTCTAATTTTTGTGGAAATAAAAGGAATCTATCCTAATTTATCCATATGTCACCATTTTCACACAAGGTGAATCCATCAAGGGAAATTTTGTATTGCTAACAGCATAACCACTTCCTTTTAGGTAATGCAATCTCCGTTCGACAATCGATGTTCTCCCCAACAACATTTTTCGAAATAAGCTTATAAACTTAAGTCTATATTCTACCACTACAGTAAGGTGTAGTTAAAATTGAATATAAGAAGTTAACTTATTTTAAGCTTAAAGTTTTCGTCTTACATGTAAAATGCTTTTCACATTTATCGCAGACAAATTATTCTTATCTGCATGCTCCTCTAGAATCTTCTCCAAATCATTGTCTTCGTCTTCATATTCTTCTTGGCGTTCAATGTGTTCAAGTTCAACATTATCAATCTCGGCATCTTGAGCTTCTTCTTCTTCAAATTTCAACCTTTTTGCCTTTTTCTTTCGCTGATCAGGCTTGATTTTAACCCTTCGTTTTTTACTATTTGGTGTTTTAGGCATGTCTAAACGCCATTTAGCTTGTTCGTAAGCTTTTAAATCATCTCAAGTGATATCATGGTCGCTCTTTGTGCATTTTGTCCGCCATTTTACATCTTCCAAAACAAGTACCAGCATGCTTTGCTAAACAGGAATCCCAAAGATATAGACCGTCACCTTAACAAAAAATCATCAAACATCGAAGTTTATTATATAATTATCTATATAAAATATCACAATTTGCTTTCATTGATATAATAAACAGTAGAATATTACATGATCGCAGAGATATAAATTTTTATCTTCTCGTCTTGAAAATCTTAGAGATTTCAACACTCAACGAATATAAAAGCTCTGCTCTGCTCTGCTCTGCAGTGAAGTCATTTCAAGAATATTTAAGTGTGATTATAGTCAAATAAACACAAAATAAAATATAATAATCTATAATATATCGTCCCACGTCATGGGAATCCTATTGGCCATGTGCCAATGTGCTTATTGCATTCTTCGTCGATCGACTTATGGTATTGCTTCTTCTTCAAAAAATACGCTCAAAATCACTTACAAATCAACAAACAATTCGCGGTATAGACACACTAAAAGATGTCGAGCGTTTTCGGAATGACCTTTTTGAATCCGCGAATTTATCAAGCTTATCGGTGTTATGGTACACAACCATTAATCTTGNTTTGGTAATGAAAGACCCAGTAATTTAACTGATTTCTGTGACATGCCTTATTTGGCTTATCAGTCAAATTTATCACGTGGTGTATAGTTATACGCTTAAGTCATATCCACTACTGGGACAACTGAGTGTCGAATAGATTTCTGTACTTTGTACTCATTCTGGTTAATATCCACAGTAATTCTACTATCCATATAAGCATATCTTACATATTATCAGAGTACTGCGCATGGGTAGATCGAAATTAGGGGGTCAGCAGTGATTGTACAATGCTGCAACTGTGTCTGGTCTCATTCTGGCACAGCACACCTTACTGTCTGTTAAAAACGCCCTCCTCCTCCCCTTGCAGGTCCTGCACATTCCTTTTTCCGACTTTTTCAATGCCATTTGACTTTTAACGGGGTATCAACTAATTTTAGCTTACTTCGATCCGAAAAAATCAGCCTCGCTTGAAAAATGTCGTAGAGCCGTAAACAAGAATTGTCAACTATTTAGCTTATAGCCTAACTTGAAAAAAATTTGTAGCGTTAAAAATGTATTCAGGATTATTATTCTGATCAAACTAAAGCTCTAAACAATGGCAGGGGGTAAATAACATACTGTAAAGTAAGCCAACTAAATATGCAATTTGTCATAACTATAAGGGACATTTATGTACTCCGGTTCACACCTCATTTCACATAGCTCAATCCTGCATTAAAAAAGCCACTTGAAGCAGCCATTAAAGCTATAAAAATATAAACAGCTTCTAGTAAGTTCAGAACAATGTTTATCATTATTAAATCTCGGCTTAATTTATGTTGGACGCCGTAGGGAGGGGCAGTTCTATAATCCACTGATTCTCAAACACTAATGCAAGCACTTGAATTATTGCACAACTGAAACCCAGCTTCATTCTGCATAATGTCATGTATAACTGAGAATAATAATTATGACATGTCACATCGATATGGACAAACATTTATTGCTGGATAGCTGTGCGCAAAATAGCAAGCAAAATGTTGGCGGTTTCTGTTTGTATGTAGACCCTGGATTTGTACTCTTTGTACTGGTAAAATTCTTTATTAGATAAACAGGATGAATATTGACACATTTTGATTGATCCTGACACTTATGCCAGGAAACAGGAAACTCTTTTTCCAGACGTGAACTTGACCTTTTTGGTAGGCTTTTTACATTAAACTGTCACAAGTTTTCACTTTTTCAGCGACATCTTTTGGCATTCCTTCAAAACCGTTGAAAATAAGTGTTGTTTGCCCTATTTTCGTGTTTGTCCAACATGGGGTTTAGCTTTTTAATTAGTTTTGACTCTTTTTGATTGCCAGCCGATATGTCAGAGCACCATACTTAGATTGCAAAATTCACACTGGAATTGTTCAAAACAAACAAAAGTAAAGCTTGACGGAATGCGTTCCTTTTGTTTTTGAGGGTTTTTTTACATTCTTTTGTTTCCATCCAATATGACGGATTTGGTTCCATCTGACCGCTTCATATATGCATGCATTTCTTCATTGGATGACTTTAAGCTACTGTTAAAACTTACCTATATTTAAAAACAAACTTATGATCTCTAACTTTCTACATTTCTTTGTCAATCTCTACTTAAAGTTTTTATTCTTACCTTTTATTTAAAGCGCTTAGAGAACGCTTTATAAATGCTATAGCTTAAATATTG